GCGGCATCTTTTTGTTCCTGTGCAAACTCAGTGTCAAAGTGAGGTTTGGCGCTTGGTACAGACAGTTCGAGAACATGTTCACTGTTGATCTGGCCAAGCAGTTATGCATGGAAGTTCCGGCTGCCACTGCGCAAAGTGGCCGCCATCGAGTAGCAACGGCATTCCAACATTATGCAGTCGAAGAAACCTAGAGATTTTCTCTTTTCCGTGACGATCCAGACGCAGTAGCAGATATTTGGCGAGCAGTCTTCACTGCTAACTAGTAGCTCCAACGTTCAGCTAGCTAAACGTTATGACGATTTCATTACGCAGACGGGTACCGTAGATCACGAACGCGAGCGTTTCAACATGGTTTGCTGACTGAGGATAATTGCAAGTGTCTCACCTTAATCGCTGCTTTTCAGTGCCCCGAGGATGCCAATATACTAAAGCGTCTCTTGGCCATGGTGTGAAAAAACACCAGGTTTACTCTCCAGAAGCTGGTCAAACACTGTCAGGTGTGATGATCAACGATGATCTAGGACGCTCCTACATCTGGTATGGTCCAATCAGTCGCAGCAGTCAAACCGCCATCTTCCAACCAACTACACCAAACGAAGCCCCCACTCTCAATTTTTCCATTATGTGGTGTCTGATATTACCACCGATATTGTGCGTTCATTGTGATTGAGTGGGGCACCGAAATGGCTATTGTATCCTGACGCCAAGAAAGGGTGCCGAACCCGGCGCGTTATAATTACGCAACCGGATTTTGGTAAACTAATTTCAGGTTTCGTACGGTAAAGTTAACTCCGATCAGTACCAAAAGTGGTCTATAACTTGTGTCACAGAGGACTCAGTTTCGTTAATAACTAGCACAGACAATAGAGACGCGTACCAACAAGATAATGGTGCAATTGTAAACTATCAGCACTGTCACCAAAGCTTAGTAAATTTCTCTAAAGGTTTCCGCTACTTTTCATTTATAATTGTTTGATCGTCGTGGTATACTAATTATTCTAAATGATAAATGTCATCCTGAATATTCCTGTACCTTATGTCTTGTTCGTCGTTCATGCTTTCGATGGCATCCTCTGCTAGTTTGACTGAGATACCCGTCACTATAGCTTCTGATGAATCTCGCTCCATCTTTTATTTCTTTAACACAAAAAGGAGATTGATCCCATTTTGCCTCCAAGGAAATCGATCACAAAAACGAAGCATTTGAGAAGGTTGCGGTCATTCGCCCAACAGTTAGCGCATCAAACGGCGAGAACGGAGCCACTTTGGAAGCAGTAGTGATTAATTAGGTTTGTTGGAAAATTACCATTCTTCTGTTTGCTCAGTCAAATGAATTCGCTCTAACCACCATTCGTTTCGACGAATCATCCGACTGAACTCAGGGTTTGGGTCTGCTGCCGTACAATCGCTTTCGAGGAGAATGCGATAACGAATGAACTACAAGGCAATACTGGGCCTTGGCGTGACTATTGATTACTTGGGTGTAATCTGTGTTAGACTATAGATTGGGCATTGATTATGTTGTTTACCAAAATTCACGTGTATATGATGACCTAATTATATAGCGGGTTAAATCTAACCACTCTAAATATTGGACAAACATCACGCCGACGAAAGTGGAACTACCTTATGGCGAATGACGGTGAGTTTATTTACATCTCTTATACCATCTTAAAATTCGGCTAACCGTTTGCGTAATGTAATTCTTACTCCATGTACAGCATATTGCATTTTCTGCGAAGTTTCTCTCCGTTGATACCATTTGCTTTTGTCGGACAAATTTTACTGGAATTTCCATGTTTTACTTGAGAATTCCTAACAACAATCAACAAGCAAATTTCGCAAGCATTTTCTTTGTCTAAATGCGGACGCTTTGGAGGTATCACATGAAAGCTTGCAGTGCAGTTGGTGACTAAAATGGCATGCCGATTAAAAGATGCAGTTTTTTGAAAGATTTGTGTTTAGACTTGCTCTCCTTTGTCATAACCTGATTGACAAGATCATAGCATGTTAGGTGAACGATTGCATGAACTAACTTTATAACTTTCCACTAGTCTGCGCAATAAATCTTAGCTGGGATTCGGCTTGTTTCTACTTACGGCTTTTGGCGTCTTGCTATTTCGCCCACTAATAATGTCATCTAATCACCCCTTCACCCAAGTAGTTTGAGCAGTTCGTGATCGACAGTACCTTCAGACACCTGTGCGCTACAAGCTGACCGATTAATTTGCTACGCACTAGAGTAGTCTGTTTAACCACTGTATTCGTAGCAAAGTATGTTATATGCATTTGTTTTACTAATCTCTAAACAGTGTTTTCATTTTACTTAATCGCAAGTCTAATTTTGTTTTGTTTGCATAAGATAACTCTAACGCGTCATCAAAGCAATTTTCTACGCATGGGACAACACTGAACTATCTACCGCTTGTCTACAACAAATTTGCCTAAAATAGAGTTGCGTTGGTTATCCATAAGTTCGTACTTTTACCATGTATACTTTAAAAAGTTCCACTTTCACTTGGTTTGTACAAGTTCATCTAAGAAGTCCCTAACCTTCGTAATTACAACGGGGTTAAAATCAGCCAATAGACGCTAACCTGATTTACACACCATGCGTACTCCCATCGTGTTGCTCATTGTAGATCCAGAGACTCCAAATACGAGAAGTAACAAACAGCCTGACAACTAGGTTCTGCGAAAATCGGAGACCACAATTATGCATAGAACTGTTGTTCTGCGGTGTCTGTGACATACGACACTGTATCGTTTCAAAGTTTATCCAAATGTACGAATGGTCTGAAAAAATACTGTCCGTTGTCGCTGCATGCAGTTAAATAGCAAAGTTTGTGTCAAGTATTTCACCACTTGAAATATTGTTACGAATGACACGAACGACAATTCACCTACTAGAATTAACCCAAGGTTGCTGAGAAACAAGGCACGCTTTTACGCAAACTGTCAAGACCAGAAGGATGCAAAACTCGATGAAGGTACTAAGCTTGGACATTTCTGAACCGAAGGCAAATTCCATCATTTAGTACACGGTGGAGGACCTGAAACCTTAAGAATCAATATACCAAGCAAGGGAATTCAGGCTAAAATGGACAGTTTGTTATTCAGCATCCGCCACGCAACCTCAGTTCACTATGATGAAACTAGGCTACTTTTGGTATCATTGCAGTCGAGTGCAGATGCGAAGAACATCCACTTGTCAGCTCGTTGTCTTCGGGATTCATCATGCGACTTTCTTATGCCCCTAATATCCATTCGGACTGCGCGTCGGCATAGGAAGACGAACGAAAATTATACTGCAATTAAAATGATGGGTGATTAAACTTCTTCGGAGACGCTCTTTGGAGGAGTCGCATTCCTATGCTATTGACGTAGTAGGGTGACGGTGTATCGTCATGGCTTTTTCTCTCTCAATGATTTAATGGCCACGCATAGTCAAAATAATTAATATCACTCAACTAAAATAATGTGGCCAAAGATTGTCATAATTCATATTCCACTCCATAAGAATGGATGAAGCGGTGTTCGGATTTAGCACAATTAAGCAACAAACTGCAAGCTGCACTACGCCCGAAGGGGATCAAATTCATGCACTATTAGCGGGCAAAAATAAAAAGGTAGGATGTTGCCACAAGTCTACCTGCCTTACTTTCTGAACTGGTCTACAGCGAAACTTCCCAGTAACCAGAAAACGAAACAGGCAATCTAATAAAAGTGGCCCTGAAGGATAATATAGTGGGTTGTCCATACAAAATAAAACAGGACAGGCCAGGATTATATCCAAAAAGTTGTCATCCGGCCTCATGACAGTTGGTATCAATTTGTTGGAAACCTTTATACTTTCAAATACCTTTCTGTCATCCGCAGCTCCCAAGTGCTCATATCAGATGTACGTGGCCTTCTTAGCAATTTGACCTACCTTCAATTTCGTCAGGCCTCCTTATTTGTACACAACACCACAATTCGGCCGCCGTGACACGGCTGAAAGACATGATTACGGAAGCAACGGCCACACTACTCGGTATGTCACTTGCCCAATGATCGATTCATTAGGCAGGGTAATTCTCTACAATCGCTCCGAACTATGCGGCAACAACATGAACATCCCAGGGCTTCAAGAAGTAGACTGATTATGGTGCCGCAAATACCCTAAGCGTTTAGTGGCCAATGAACGTCGCCTGGTATCGTTAACTTTAGAAAGGAATCAGGTTCTCTCATTAACTATGATGAATTTAGTAGGAGAGTTAAACCGCCACGTCCTAAGAACCCCGGTCACTCTCGGCGAGCATCAAAAAGCAAAAATACAAGAGCTGATTATTTGTTGAACGCTTTATAACCATGTCATGAACCCAACCCATTTCAGGACAAGAAAAATACCGGTCATTTGGGACCATGCTTTTAATGACGCGAACTTATGCTCGACGTGCGGCGTACCTCGATAATCGGTAGTCGGGCCCCGCCTGTTCCTTGTCATCAAAACTTATTTCGCGAGGGTGTTCTCTTCAATTCTACTAATACTCGCCAATGATCTAAAGATATGGCGTGTGATCGCTATAGCCGTACAAGGGGATTCAAATATATCATACGAGTACTCTACCGAGCACGCGCGATAGTTTACTGCCGTCAATTGCAACTATGGCAGCACACGCCATCAATGTTCTCACCACTGCTGACTTGAACAGCCAATTCTATAGTGAAATTCTCACGTGTGCAACTTTGAGTGTTTGCGTAAAACACTCTTGGCGTTTGAGGTAGAATGAGAAGGCAAAAAGATGGTAGACAAATACTACGCCTACTTGGGAGGGAAGTTCGACAATTAGTTATGGGCAACTCCAAAGTATCCAAATCTACCTGGTATGCATGAGTTAAGCATCGGTTTTCGTCACAGTTCACTTTGTATAATTTCGAGTCGTAACGGATTTTAACTATAATCGTTCTCGTGCTACCTTCTGCGGTTTTCAGATTCCGATGAAAGAGGCACACATGTGATGGAAATTCCGGCTGTTGTACGTATGGGTTTACTTGGAAAATTCTTTCCTTTCGGATTCTGCTATGAGTTAAAATACTTGGTTCGATTGGCCATCCCTATTGTAAGTGGAAATGTGAAGATTGACTACTATATGTCAGTGATGTTAACTGTGGCATTTGTATTAAAGGTTTTACTTGTGAAAGTGAACGGTAACTTTGGCCATCAAGACCTGCCGCGTTCGGGCTTCGAGTTTAACTCTTTCATTTTCTGCTGATGTGCAACATTGAAAAAGCTGTTTTGTTACAAGTTTCTTTGTTTGTTCGCCCATCTATGACATTTTCCGTTAAATTACTTTTTTTCTATAGATGATGTTTCCTCTGATATTGGCTGAGTTGGAATTTAGCTGACGCTTGAAAGGCGCGCAGTTTTTGACTGGAGAACCGAAATCGGGTATCACTCGTACCACCTTTAGAAGATCATGTTTACTTCTAAGTTCGAGAAAAGTTTGTCTCATAATTTGTTCGAACACACTAGTTTGCAGCTACCGCTTTAACATTTGCCTCAATGGTACCAACGTCCTTTGGGATTCCGGCAGATCCATTAGATATTCTTCTGAGGAATGTATGTATCTATTCAGTATGACAAGATTTAGCAAACTGCAGATAACAGTTTTAATGTCAATTCATGTTCAATGTCATTCAGAACAAAAATCCGATCAAAATGTTATCACAAACTGGTAGAGTGTAGACCACCTGTGGCATCTAACATTTCAGTGCATGGATTAGGTGACAGCCAACATGTGTCCACAATAAGGTCAGACAAATGTTCTGTTCGGATCCAAATCGTTCGAACCACTTGGGATTCACATAAAGAACCTCATATTGCGCACATAACGAATATCACCACTAGGTTATCTAGGATAACAGGGATCTATATAATCTAGTTGTTGACCATGGTACACCGCCGCTGATGAGTTCATCAGAACAAGCTAGCGGTTCACTACCTATGTATCTGCGCGTTACCTAAATGGTTGAGTAACGTTCCAGCGAACTGCTGTCATTTCTAAAGGTGGATAGGCAAAAATTAACAGTTATTGTTTAAGAATAGCTTGCCGTCTGCTTCCGCTCAGTGGATGCACTTAGCTCTCTCGTATTTTTACTTGATTCCTTTATGTTCTTTCATTATTATAAGCCGTGTTAAAAAAAAGTTCTTACGTTTATTACTGAGAGCGCTCAGTTTAGCTGCGAATCTAACTTATTCGAAGCAATAAATTTAAAATAATGTTCTGGGATTTTCGGATGCTCGTTTTAAATGGCGACTAATGAAATTGCCCCAAATCGTTTAAATAATTGCTCCGTTAATTTAATGTGAATTGACTGCGTTTATGATCGTATGCTACAGTGCTACCAGTACTGCATTTGACTTTCGCATGTGGAGGTGGCAAAGTGTAACTAGATGTTACTCCTTAGATCGATGAAGCCAGCGCTTTTACTTAAGATAAATAACGTCTGGAAACAGCCGCTTAGGCGCTGCAAAAATCATAATACATTAAGATTTTCCGATCTTGTGCGAACATCAAATGCTTTCCAACTAAACAAGAAATCACGGAAACTAATATTGTGGCACCAGGAAATTGGTGAAGGTAAACGTCGTTCATACAAATTGGGTGTTGGCTGCATGACTTACACATGAATAGCACCTAGCTGGATAGTCTGCTATTATCAATTGATGAGATTAAATGAGGTAAAATCATCGTACGTCTCAATGCTTTCGGACAGACAACACTCAATTTATACCTGCTTCAGCTACAGTTTTAGCGATCGAATTGACCAAGATTCGATTCAGTACAAATCAATTTCAAGATAGAAGTTGCGCGTCGCAGTCCAATCATGAAATGTGCAATTTAAATTGTCCTCCAAGCAAACGTGGTTCATGCTTTGGCTAAACTTGGGACTCAGACTGATTAGCACACTCGCGAGATAAACCTATCTATACCCTTCAGCATAATATTCTTTCTGATCCGAGGCGTTCAGTTGTGGATGATAAAGCTCTGTTTGGGATATGAAGAAGGATGGAAAATGCGGTCACAAAATTTGCTAGATCAAATGAATGAAAATAATACACAGTCCATTTGATTTGGAATATATCCATGTTGATGGAATGTTGGAAAAATAGTATTAAGGGCTGAGTCATTTCATAAATTGAATGTTGGATATTTCGGCTACTGCGTCCTTGCAAAAAGCAGCTATTTTAGGTAAGTCATATTCACAAGTGAATATACCTGTTTTGCAGGTAAGGATATAACGCATTCGTAACGGATTGCTTTCTGGTATTTTATATCATAACTAAGTTGGTGTGGATTTGTTTTGCAGATGCGTTTGATATTTTAGTAAGAAGTACCGTTTTAGTCAATTATCCCAACGTACACATTGTCACCGCGCTGTATATGACTTTATGTAAGGTAGACTTTGGGATCTTAAAGAATCCGGGTGCATCTTACAGAGAAATATGGACTAAAGAACTTAAGCAACGACGTCATAGACTCAGAAATAATCCTCTTTTTACCTACGATACCCTAAATGTATATTCTTTGCGGGATAGTATGATCCCAGGTTTGCCTAGTCAAATGGCGCTTGTTTATAGAAATGTTCATCAAAATGACATACGGTTTAGTGTTTATCTGGGAAATAGGCTAAGTGTCTTGCTAAGCAAATTAATGAATACTGAGTAACATCAACATTTCCTCCTTAGAAAGTAGAGTAGTGTTGTTTGGTAAGCTATGTGACATTTGGCATATTAGTGTTTAGCAAATGTTAAGATATGGCATTGGGAACAAGGTGATTCGTATAACTAGTAGCGATGCACAAATATATTTACTCCTTCAGAATTAGAACCCGCGCTTAATCTGTAGCGCCGATAATAAGCAGAGAGCGCATGCTTGGTATAGTATACCAGAAACCCATCACTATGGTTACTTACTGGACACAGTATGTCGCGGCTGACCCTTTAGTGTCAAGAGCGTCAATAAGGCACACGTTGTGGAGGTAACGGAAAGAGTATTTTGTCAATATTGCCAAGCTTTTGATGGCAACCTAAGGTATAAAGACAAATTAGACGTACGTTCTAGGAGTCCAGTTGGAAAGAATGTGCTCACATGAGGATAGCATTTCGGAAAATACACTAAACGACCGATTAGCCGATTTGGGACTACTCTAAGAAGGCAGATCACTGAATTTCGTGACACGTAATTGTAAAATAAAATTAGATTACTATCTATCGGTAGTTTCGGGTGAGTCTGCTTCCATTTCGTCACCTAACGCCCTCTGAACTTGAGTACTGACTTCGCTGACAGGAAAAGCTATTTTTTAACCAACAGCGAAACAGGTTTGGTTAATTTGTTTGTAGCTGGCTGGCGTCTTATTATTTCTTTACTTATTCTCCTATACGAGGTTGTCGTGCTAGACAAAGTAATGTTCAAAACGCTTGACAAGATGTGTTAACTGCTTTATATACAGGAGTAGTATGACAATAGTTCCTTCAGTCTAACCGATAACTACGTATTTGTGACAGATATAGAGAATAAAATAATACAATAAGTACATCTAACAGTTGCTACTGCTTTTGAACATTCCATATTATCAGAGTTAACTTTGAGTTATACAGTGGTCTACATCTTACAGATATATCTCATCTAACAGCACTCAGACATAGAGGTTCCGACAGTTAACTCCATTTACTGCCAGCTCTCCAACATCTTTTTCAGGCACTGACGACGCTTATGACTTTCCTCTGCGGATCGATAAGTATCATCGCATGTGGACAAATTGACAAACGCACTCTCGCCACCGTAGGTTTGGCGACCTCAGCGTTCAACGTTACTGGTTTGGTTGTTATAACCGGTTTATTGACTGCCGCCGATACAATTTTTTCTCAGGTTAGATTCCAGGAGTTGTGTCAATGTTTGTCGGTTTCAAATGAATTATTGGAGGATGGCTGCAACTTCTTTTATACATTACTCGAGCCATGAGGCTAATATCGATGTTCGAGTCCCGAAGCATTCAGTCTACATGTGAATGCTGTGTTATTGATGGATGCGTTTGGAAATCGGAGTAATTATTGTCACGAAATATGAACTTATCATATGCATTCCGGTTAGAAGCTACAGGCTGGCAATTCGATGCATTTGAACAGAAATTATTCACACTGTAATGACAAACATTTCCTTCATTCAGTATATATTTCACTATTGGCCAGATTTTAATAAAATGTGACACAAGTTACTAAGAAACCAACCAGTATCACAAATTTGTCTGTTATTTTTCTTGTGATCGGTATTATAAATAACCTCATCAAATTCTCATCAGTGGGTTATTATATTCTTGGTAATGAAATTCGCTCGTAGTCTTCACAATGCCTTACGTTCTTCAGATCTATCATGTTTCAGCGTAAAAAGATAGTTCTTAGTTGACAGATATACAAGCTACTTAGACTGTTTCCAGCACCATGATTTCACCATAGTATGGCTGCTTAATTTCAAATCTACTTGCGATGTTCACCAGTTGACACCCTACCATGCGGCCGTACTGTAACTCCTCTCTCGAGTTGCCCTTTGTGGCCACTCCAATTCTCCCCACAAAATATTGTGCGTGAGCTCGTTCCAACCAGTTCGGCGAGCTCTACTCAGTGCTTCCCAACCCTTGGATCTAACCTATGTGGATTATACTCTTGCTCCAGTTCCCAGATTTTGGCATATTCTTTGCCGAATTCCACTTGTGTAACTACATCAGACCGGTCTTACGGAAAAGATTTTGGTCTCATTCGGAAGAAGAAGCTGAGGGCTCCCAAATTACGTGGCAACCATCCCTGCAAGTTGCAGCATAACAAAGTTAGAGCCTTTTTGCTCCGCTCATCAACTGAGCAGCTCTAGGGACGCTTATCAGCGCTCCACCTGCATCGTCGCTTAAGGCAGGCCGATTAACACACGCTGCCGCTTTGTGTGAGTGTGTGTACCACTACGAGTCGATTGATCGCTGAACCCGATAGTCTGCGCGTTACGACTTCCATCTGCCCCTACCGCCTGACCTTGGTGCGGTTGAACAATTCTCAATTAGTGTACTTATTCTGACCTATTCGCGCGTCACCCCTTTCGCAAAGAACACTCATCAAGGTGAGCGCGTTGAGAGGCCTTGCTGTAGACAATGATAGAACGACTAGCATTCCAACGGTTCCACGTCGCCTATGTTGCAAAGACAATTGCAATAAAGTCCTTAAGGTCAGTATTACCTGTTCTAGCTGCATTAGATCGTACTGTCCGCAATGTGTAGGCAAATCCGTCCAAGAAATGAGACAGACAAACCAAGTTGCTGACACAATTTGGTTTTGCCCATCATGTCAAGTCATTCCAGTTGTCAACTGTTTATCATTGCTCATGAAAAAATGCGATAGGATGACTGAAATAATCTCGAATATTGTAAATCCTAAGATCGCTGCCACGGAGGTAAATATGGCCACGATAATACCTCACCTGATCAAAGTTAGCTCTGAGTCTAAACCGAAGAAAAGAGCTAGACGCTCCAACCGCACTACAGCTTCCGTGACTCTAAACCCACTAGGTCATCTAACTCCCACAAGTGGGCAAGCCTCAAACATGCCTGCTTCCACTTCTCCAACCCTAGACGCTTCACTTGGTGATTCAGTCATAACACCGACAGCTCAGAGCCGAAGGAAATCCGGTGCAGATAATAAGCAGGTAAAGTACGCATCGATTGCCTTGACAAACACACCGGGAGCGACACACATAGGCCCATGTTCTGTTCCTAGCCCGCGTCGCGCACCGCAACTTTCACCGTCAACTCCAGTGGTGCCCTCTTAACAAGCTGAATTGCCGGAAAAAGTATAAAGCCAACACTCGCTAGACAAAACCACGGTGCGCTAACTCTCGTCAGCACCAATGTTCCCGAATCCAAATCAGGCACAATAAAAGGCAAGTTGCAAAACGATCGCAACCAGTGGAGTTCCATATGCGAGGCGATTGGCATTCGGGTTGAGTCTGCATTGCTGCAACGTGTGGCGCGTCACCCGACTTCAGTGCACTCTGGTGAACCACGAATTCTTCGAGTAACACTAAACTCAGCAGATGAGATAGAGGCTGTCCTGCTCTCAGCAGTTCGTCTTCTTAACTCACCGAGCGGAGTGCGCATATTACCTGATCTACCTTGGAAAGACCGCGCAAAAGAAGCGGTGGAGCAACGCGGTATTGCTAATAGGGATAGCAAGAAAACAATATTTGTTCATGGTGTTCCGGAGCCTCTGCATTCTTCTGCTCACGATGGGCAAACACATGACCGAGAGCAGTGGTGCTACATTAGCGAAGTACTCTCTGTTGACAATGTTATTGCCAAATCCCTGAGAAGAGTTCCGTTATCACCTAACTACAAGGGCTGCGGTCCAAGGCTAATGAAAGCAATACTACACTCTGAGGGAATGACGCAAGTTCTGTTGGATAGCTGGTTAAAGTTTCGAGCTAGTTTGCCAACAGAAATACGGCTAAAGGCAGCAGGCGAACGACCAAAAGTCGGAAGCAATTCGATGGAACTTGCAAACGCTACAAATGCTTTATTTGCACAGTCCTTCGGAGGGACCGACACAACAGCGCCCACGGCACACAGGAGGACCCAGCACAGCACCAGTGAAACTTCTCTTCAGGATCGCACAATAATGTTATGCAACACGACTGAAATACACAAACCAAAAAACGATTATTGGCCGGCCACCTAACTGCCGGCTTAAAAACTAGCACAAACTTGACATCTATCAATGAAATCCTAACTAAAAAGCCCTGTCTTGCATGTATACAAACGCCCAAGGCCTTCTAAGCAAGTTGGCCGAACTTAGAGAACTCCATGCCTTACAACCGCGGGACCTCGTCATGATTACAGAGACATGGTTAAACCCTGAGATAACCGACTGTGAGATCAATTTACCCGGTATGTCGTTGCTTCGGACCGAAAGAACCGGAAGGTGTGGCGGTGGGATTCTTTATTATAATACAAGCCTCCGATGTGAAGTTATCGATCACCCGGAAACCCGAGCTCCTGATTCGCTTTGGTGCCGCCTTTGTTTGCGAAACAAGGACACATGTCTACTAGCCGTAGTTTAACGCCCGCCAAGCTCAATGTCAGAAATGGACTCCAAACTGCACCACGTTTTCCAGTTTGCTTTGAACAAGTCCTACACCCACATTCTCATCACGGGAGACTTTAATGTGCATTACATAGAAACGCCGGAAACCGACGGTATGCAGTTTAAAGCCTGTTTGCAAGAACTTATTGCTAGCCACCCTCTTTACAACCACGTAACCTCTCCCACCAGATTTCGAACTTCTAACAAGCCGTCGATACTGGATATTGTGCTAACTAACGAAGAACTGATGGTTGGCGGGATAGTTACAAGCACACCACTGAGTCGTAGTGACCATGTCACTCTACTCTGTGATTATATATGCTACGTCGAGTACCCGGAAAAGGAGGAGGATAAAGTGCATACTGTCACTCACTACAATGTGTTATCCAAGCTTGTTAAGGATACATCTTGGACTTTCTTAACCGAATGCCCCCCAGATCTGGCCTGGGATATGTTTACAAGGACTTTGAGCAAAATGGTAGCGCAAGCATCGGAGTCGACGTCATCTATCTGGACTTCTCCAAAGCTTTCGACCGCCTTGATCACCGCATCCTACTTCAAAGACTACAAAGTTACGGAATAGGAGATCCTGTACTTGGTTGGATTAGCAACTTCCTTTACCAACGAAAGCTCCAAGTACGTGTTAGGGGATCACTTTCTAACCCAATTGAGGTGGAATGTGGTGTCCCGCAAGGCTCAGTGCTGGGACCGCGTTTATTCCTGGGGTTTATCAACGACCTGGCAAGAGTCATCTCCTCAAACTTCCTGCTTTTTGCCGATGACGTCAAGATATGGCGGGCGATTAGTAACAAGGCAGATCAGGATCTGCTCCAACATGACCTAGATTGCATTTACGAATGGTCAAAGAGGAACAAGCTTCAATTGAACATGGCTAAGTGCAAAGTGATGCATCTGCGTCACCAGCAGGTGATCGCTTACAAGCTTGGAGACCACATCTTGGCAAAGGTTTCTCAGGAGCGTGACCTTGGCGTATTGGTACAGGAAGATCTCGGGTGTTCCAAACAAGCAGAGCAGGCGACGAGAACCGGAAATCAACACTTCGGCCTTCTTCACAGAGCCTTCAGTCGGTTTGAACCCTCAATCTTTCCCCAAATGCTTAACGCCTACTTGCGATCTCACGTGGAATATGCTATTCAGGCGTTGCAGCCGTGGCAGAAACAGGATCTCGCTACTCTCGAGGCTCCTCAACGACTGGCAACTAAGAACGTCAGGGGCCTCTTTCATCTGTCCTATGAGCTTAGACTAAAATCTCTAAGAATCTACAGCAGTCGATATCGGCTTCTGCGGGGGGATCTCATAATGGTTTACCAGATTCTGAAGAACCCAAACCACATTTGCCGACCGCTGCTGGAATTGAACCACAACACTAAACGAAGAGGTCACCCTCTGAAACTGACAATTCAATATAGCCGGCTTGAATGCCGTAGAAATTTCTTTTCTCTCAGCGTGTGTGAGCCTTGGAATGCCCTCCCTAATTATGTCGTCTCTGCTCCCAATCTGGCGATATTTAAAAACGTGTTGACGATGCACTGTCTCACTTACATTTCCTTTTATGACTTGTTAGCCAGGGGCTACAAAATGCAATCAAACGGTTTCTTGCCAAACGCCTAACCATTGGATTTATAGATTTATACGTTTAATATGCGAACATCTCCACTATTTCACATAAGTCTATGATGTGTCCACCACAACGCTTTTCACTTTATTATGCAATTTATTTTCGCAATAATT